TTTGTTTTGTTTCTAAAATATTACATTCTCTCTTTTCTTTTTCTTAATGACTTATTTCTTACTTCTTTAATTCTATTAAATTCGTGTTGTTATTCTTTCCTTTTGTTTTAAATATTTTTCTAGATATGCTTTCAATACACACTTCTTATGTTTCTTATTATTTCATCGACTCCTCGATCAATAACTATTTCTATTATATTTTGTTAAAACTTTATCAAACCTATCGTTTTGTGTCTTTTATATTACTTTTCAGTTTTTCTCTTTTTATTATTTCTTGACTTTCTTATTATCTTTTTGATTATATTCTTCATCTCCTTAATTTATGTTTCATTATTCTCACATTTCTTTATCACTACTATTTATTTTATCAATTATTTGTATGTTGTTAATTATTGTTAAATTCTCAAAATGAATAGAAAGTCAAGTTCTTGTGTTTTTCGTGTCTGTATCATTTATAATTATACATTTCATTGTCATTTTCTTCTTCTTAAAACAACAAACCATCTCTTTATCTATTTTTATTTTATTTCTTATTCGTTTTTATTTCGTTTTTGTCTTTATTTCTTCCATGAAAAGACAGATAAGTTATTGATGAACAATTTGATGAGATGAAAGAGTCAAATAAGTAGATGAATGAGAATGAGTTGTTTGCGTTTAGATAAATGCAGAATTACATATTCATCACCACAAATAAAAGTCATAATTAAATAGATAAACTCATTAATAATTTTAAGATGAACGAAGAAAATAGAAGAAATAACAAAAAAAAAATATCAAATGACAAAACAGAAAATGACAAACATATCACACACCATTTCATTTACTATTTATTCTACAAATATACTCAGTGAGAAAAAGATAAAATGATGAATGAAATATTTACAAAGAATAAATAAAGAGAAATACATCAATAAATAATGATATTAAAACATAATGAGAACGATAAAATATATTTAACTAATTAATTAAAAGATATTCTATCGATTTACATCATTATTCAATTCATATTTATTTAATTATGAAATAAATGTTTAATTTGTATTATTTTTTTTATTCATGTGTTTTATTAATGGTATTTGCTTTTAAATGTATATTAATTGATTATTATATTACATTATACTTTGAAATATCTGATTTATTTATTTTCTTGTCTTCATTATATATTTATTCTTTACCTGTTAGATCAAAGGTGGCACGTCTGAAACGCCACACAAACTTTAATACAATTCAAGCATCGACTCATCAAGTTATTATCTGGTTATGACAGTGTATTTGAATTAGAAATGTATTAGGGAATGTTGCAAAGGGTGTAGCAAGATATTATGATAGAATATTACATGGTGTAATATAAGGAAGTACTAAAGTGTGGGTAAGACTAAAAGAAAATTAAACATAATAATATAATGGGAATGAAATACTCTCTTCTCTCATTCATAAAATAAAGAAAAAAGGAAAAAGAAAATGTTTAAAATTAAGATAGAAAATAAACAAAAGGAATAAAAAGAAGAAATAAGCAGAAGAAGGATGAGAAGACATTAATAGGAAAAAATAAAACAAAGAAGTGATTTTCTCAATTTGCAAGAAAAACATAAATGATAAGTTAAAGAAAAAGATTACTCTTTTTTAAACAGCTCAGGGATTAGTCTCGGCTAAACTAGGAAGAATATATGAAAAATCTATTAACACTTAATTAAGTAATTTTTATTCATATCATTATTTTTCTTATTGACTCTTTGTTGTATTTTCTATATTCTTTTAATTTGAAATTCAATATTTGAATATTTTCTTTATATTCTTCTTTTCTTATCTTTTTATTGACAAATAGTCAAACAACAATGAATGAGATATCATTTCTTGTTATATTAGTTTAATTTATTATAATTATGATGAAATTCATTTATTTTTAATATAATTCATGTGGTTACATTCATTATCAATGAGTAATACTCATAATTCTTATAAAGAAAACAAATACAATAGAACAAATTAAAATATTCATGAGAATAATAATTATAGAAAGAAGTATTGATGGAGAAAAGAGAAATGAAAAATGAATAAGAGAAATTGAGTATCAAGAGTGAAATATTAAAGAAATACATATTAGAAATATAAAATAATAACAAACAATGAAAATAAACTGAAAATGAAAAATAAGTAAAAAGAATAAAAGATAACAATAAAGTTAATTAAAGTATGTGAATTAAAATACATATTGAAAAATGAATATTATTTTAAATAAATATTATTATATAAATTTGTATAATTTGTTGTTTTATCAATAGAGTATTTCAATTCAATTAATTTAATAATTATATATTACTCATTTTCATAATTTTCATTCATTAAACATAAAACAGTTATTATTCAAAAGATCAAATTAATAAATATAATTATTCTCTATTTCTTCTATTTATTCATTATTTACTGTAATGATTATTCAATAATATTGATTAAGATATTTTATTATGAATTAAACAATGAATCAAATATCATCAATAGTTATATTCATTGAAATAAAAATTATTAAAATGATAAGAAATTAATAAAAATATATTATCATATTTGAATAGAATATTCAATTGATGTTAATACTATCATAATTTGCATCGATGAAGTGTATTTAATAGTATTTTAATTATCATGACTTTGTAGTGTTTGTAAATCATTTGATTTCATTCTATCTAAATATAATAATTTACCACTATTTTATATTTCTAAACTAATATTATTCATAGTAATGAATATAAAATGAATTGAAAGTACATTTGATTAATTATTAGTTTTAATATAAAACATCAAATGAATATACAAATTAAATGAACTGTGTAATAACAATCAATAAATAAGTTGTTTATATTCATTATTTTATTAAATTGAATATGAATGTTTATTATTTTCTATTAATTCATTGTCATTGTATTTTGTTTATTTTCATTATTTTTATTAACATCAAACATTTCATATTTCTTTATTGTATACTTTATCAAATAAATAATCATATAGAATGAATTTGGATGAATGAAACTGTTTAATTCGACAAATTTATTTATTTTTAACAACAATTAAATGAAATGTTGGTTTATAATATTTCATTGGAAGGTATTAATTAAGCATTTGATGAATAATAACAATCATTGAATAGTGAAAATATTAAATAATTCAAATTAGCAATGATTTGAAGAATAAGTGAATGTAAAAGTTCAATGGTAATTTTATTTTAAAGAAGAATATAATTAATATAAATGATAATCCAAAATAATCCACACAAGAAACAATATGACATAACTGAAAAGATGATAGAAATAATTGCATTATAACTGAATTTTCAATAACTAAACAGAAGAAATGAGAGAGAAAATGATGTTATTGTATTAATTCAGAAAATATTTTCATTTATATTTTCATAATGAATGAAATACTATAACTTGTACAATTTATATTCTTAATCTCTCATTGTAAAACAATAAACATCATTTTGTGTACGTTTATAATGTATTCGAAAAATAAATAAATGATAAAATATGAAATGAACAAAGAATAAAACAATTAAATTCAAATATATTTGTTTATTCATGTGATTTAAAGTTTATTAATTAATTTTAACATTAAAAGAATATTTAAAAATAAATGGTAAGTTAAATTTAAACATAAAGAAGTTAATTAATTCATAAATGTTGTTAATATTCATTTTCATGTAGAATTTGAATAAAATGAAAATAAAATATTAAATTTATTGTTAATTGTACAAAGATACAAGATTAAAATTAATTTTATCATTAATTTAATGTAGAATGAGTTTCTGATAATATTCAACAAATTGGTAAAGTTATATCTGATATACTTCAATTAAAATACTTTTGAAATGTATATTATATGAATAAAATAGTATAACCATACCACAATAATTTGTTTGAAAAAGAAAAAAGTTGTAAAAGATAAAACAAAAAAAGTTGAATAAATTTATTAAATAAATGAAAATAATGATATTCAATGTATTTTATACATTAACAATAAAAATGAAAAATAATAATACAAAAAGAGAAAATACATAAGAAAAAAAAAATGAAAGTGAATATGATTAGAATCAAGTTATGATTTTAATGAAACAATGATGAACATTTACTCTTTCTTGTATCTTTACTCTTTTGAGAAATATATTTCTTTTTATATTCAATAATCTCTATTTTGTTATTGTTAATTTCTTATCGTTGAATATTCAATATACACTTCCTACATACCTTCAATTTTTCATTTGTTTAAACAATACTTAATTCACTTATTTTTATTTGTTATTTTCTTTTTATTTCCATTGGTTATTATTAAAATATTTATGATAATAAAAATGAGTGAAATGATTTATATAATTATTGTGATTAGTGTATCTCTGTCAATACAAATACTACACAATTCACATATTCTTTTATCATTATATTTATTTGTTGATATGAAATTCTCTTTTGTTATTATGTTTACTGTTTTTGTGATATTTCATGTTTTTCATTTTTATTCGAAAGAAAATATATAAATGAAATTGAAAAGAATTGAAATAAAAATGACAATATTTTTATATCACAATCATTACCCCCCTTAATGTTATTATAATTTCAGAATAATGATGTTTGAAATGATAAACCAATGAAATAATATCAACAATAAAACTAAAATAATAAACAAAAGAGAGAGTGGAATAAAATAAGTTAATTGGTTTTATCTATTTTTATCTAAAGAAATTCAAGTCAACAAAACCGATAAAAGGAATGAACAAGAAATAATGAACATTGTAAAATTACATTGACGAAAAGTTTATTTTAATTTTATTTCATAAACTGGTCATTAACGATAAAAATAAGACGGAATAAAATACTAAAAACAGTGTTTAGTATCGAAGCAAATGATGTTTATGAGAAATAACCAACCAGAAAAGAGGTAACACATTTAAAAATGACCTATTTTACCGAATGGTATGTATTTAAACAAAAAACAAACTTGTTAATCATTCAATGTCAAGAGTAACAGTAAGACTTCTTTTGAATGGAGAATATTTTGCAAATAAACCATTAAATTCACAAGACAGTTTGAAAACAGTAAGAGAGAAATTAAAAGGAAAGATGTCTGATTCTCAACAGTTTTTAACAAGAAAAGGAGATAGAATTGATGTGAACGATGAAGAAGAATATATAGTCGAAGATATAATAAATAATGAAGAAATTAATCTTAAAGAAGAAAAAGAAAATATACCAGAAGTTGAACCGAATATTCCAATTGAAGGAAGCACAAGATTGACAAGTCATGAAAATGGAAAGTTGAAAATATATTTATATCCAAATGAACCATTTAATCAAATAGATGAGAATGATGCGATTGCTATTCTAGTCGTTGGTGAAACAGGAAGTGGGAAAACTACATTATTAAATAGTTTTGTAAATGCATTATATGGAATTAAAATAACAGATGACTTTAGATATATAATTATAAATGAAGATCATTTAGAACAGTATGGAAATATGTCTGTAAGTCAAACGAGTCAAGTTTCAATTTATAATATTAAAAGAACAAAAAGAACACCACCAATCAAAATTATAGATACACCAGGATTTGGAGATACAAGAGGAATTGCATGGGATAAAGAAATTACTAAACAAATAAAAAAAGCATTTGAAACGAAAGTATTTGATTTAAATGCTATTTGTTTTGTTGCATCATCAAGTAATGTAAAATTAACAGCTAGTCAAAAATATGTATTTGGGAATATTATCAACTTATTTGGGAAAGATGTTAAAAAGAATTTTATTGCAATGCTTACATTCTGTGATGGTAAAACACCGCAAGTTATAAATGCATTAAAATCAAAAGATTGCATTTTCAGTACAATTATTCCAGAAATAGATAACCCGTGGTATTTAAAATTCAATAATTCAGCTATTTATGATGATATTACAGAAGATGAATTTACACAAATGTTTTGGAAATTAGGTATGAAGAATTTTGATGACTTTATTTCAAAGTTAGTAAAACTACCAAGAATATCATTAGAGACATCAAGAGAAGTATTGAAGAGAAGAGAACGTATTAAAGTTCAAATTGAAGGATTAAGAATATCATTAAACAATGGTTTATCGAAATTGGATGAAATAAAACAGATATGTGAACAATTCTATTTGAATCAAGAAAAAGTTAAAAATAATGAAAATTTTACTTTTACTGTAGATATAACAAAACAAATTAAAGTTGACTTAGAACCAGGAGAATATGTAACCAATTGTTTGAGATGTCATAAATCGTGTCATCCTAGTTGTTCTATTCCAGGAGATATGAAAATAAATTGTTTGTGCATTGGTGATGACGGAAATTGTACTGGATGTAAATGTCATTATACACAACATGCAAACTCATCATATAGATTTGATTATGTAATAGAGAAAGAACAAAGAACAGCAAAAGAAGTACTTGAAAGATATAATGAAGGTAAAAAAGGAATGGATAGTGCAGAAAGTATGTTAAAACAGTTAGAAGAAGAGTATTATAAAATTCAAATGGATTGTTATGATAAGGAAATAGAAATTATCGAATGCGTTAATAAATTGTCTGAAATTGCATTAAATGATAAAATTACCAGTTCAAATGAATATTTAGATATATTAATTCAAACAGAAAATGAAGAAAAGAAAACAGGATATAAAGTACGAATTGAAGAATATAAAGAACTTAAACAAGCAAATGAAATGATAGAAGATATTATGAAAAATTCTACAACAAAAAAGAGTAAAGAAGAAATTAAGGCAGAGTTTGAAGCTAAAAGGAAAGAATTAAAAGAAGGAGGAAAATCAACAATGGATAAACTCATTGAAAAAATGAGAAGAATATTTCCCTGGTAAAATCAAGTAACCAAAAGAAATGAAAGTTTTAATTAACTTGTTTTAAAAGTATTTGTTTAACCAAGGAATAAAATTGATAAATAATATTCATTATTCTTCATTGATAATGCCAAACTGGTACGAAAATTAGCAAAGAAATAATGTATCTAAATAATTTACAAAAAAAGAAAAAAGATGCAAAATATTTTGCATCCATAGAATTTTCCATTTATTATATTTTGCTCCTAAAAAAAATAAAAAAAATAAAAAGTATGATAAATACAGAATATGTAAATATTTATGTTTATATTTTATAATCATTTGTATTCTGTATGAAATATTAATGAAATAGATGATTTGATGAATCATATTTAATTATTTTTATTATTCATATTCTTTTATTTATATGTTATTTATCTATCGTATTTTTATATTTTTATTTCTCTGTTTATATTATTTATATCATTGTATTCTTCTTATTATCTATATATTATTATATTATTATATTCTTCTTATTTTATGTTTTTATGTTTATATTATTTAGATTTTATTCTTGTTATTCTTTTCTATTTAGTTATATTTTATTATTTGAATATTCATCCTTATCATTTTTATATTCTTATATTTTATATTATTATCATTTATATCTATTTTCATTTTATATTTATTCTCTTTTGTTTTATATTAATATTATTTTTATCTTTAGATCCTTTTTCAATGCAGGAAATACAATAAATTTTAATGCCATGGCTATTGTGTAAAACCTTAGAGTCTTGTAAAGAAAAGCAAACAAGACATAGAAATCCAAGGTCATACAATAAAAAAAGAAATGTCAATAGCAATAAATGGCATAACAATTATAATAATAAAGGTAAACGATACATCAATGAAAAATGGTTTAGAAGACGAAAGACACAAAGAAAAACAAATAGAAAACAAGATAAATACAATAATAATAAAGATTATACAAATAACAAATACAAATGGCTAACAATAAATGAGATACAAGAAAGAATAAAAAAAATAACAAGTGAATGGAATGAAGGAGAATACGAAGAAATACTAAAAAAATATGAAGGTAAAAGGAAAAAATGGTATGATAATCAACAAGAAGTATATTCAATTAAAAAGAAAAAGATAATTGAAAAAACTAAAGAAGAGTTTAAAGAAAAAACAAAAGATTGGGAGGAAAAAGACATTAAGGCTATAGAAGCAGAAATTAAAAACAAAAACCCAATTAAAGAAATGAATGATAGATGTAAAATTGCAAGAATAATAAATAGCAAAGAAAGTATAATAAAAATACAAGAAGAAAAGATAGAAGAAGAAAAAGAAAAAGAAGAAATACTTGCTCTGAAAAATCAAATTACTGAATTACAAGGAAAACTTAAAGAATTAAGTATGGAAAAAATGGAAGAAGAACAAGCCATCTCAGAAGAAATGATGAGAAAAGCAAAAGAAATAGTTAAAAAAGAATTTGAAGAAGAAATTACAGAAATGAAAACACAAATTAAAAAGATTCAAACGAATTATGAAGAAATGAAGAAAGAAAATGAAAAATTAGAAGAAAGAAATTTAAAATTACAAGGAAAAATAAATGAGATAGAAGGAAAGAAAATCACAGAAGTAAATAATAAAGAAGAAAAAATCCGAAGTATCCAAGCTAATAAAAAGAAGATTGAAAAAGAAAATGAAGAAATGAAAGAAGAAATTGAAAAGCTAAAAAAGAGAAACAAAACGCTAGAACAAAATGCAAACACATTAGAGAAGAAAATTGAAATGATAGAGGAAAATACTAAAAAATTAAAGAAGGAAATAAGAGATAAAGAAAAACAAATCTCTGAATATCAAGAAATTGCAATTAAAAACCAAGAAATTGCAGAAATAACAAGAGAAGAATTAGACAACACACAAAAAGAAAATGAAGCACAAAAACAAATAATATCAAAACAACAAGATGATATTGTAAATTTTATCTCACAGAAGGAACTGGAGAAGAAGAAAACGATGACACTTGTGATAAATACACAACCAGTACTGAGGAAAACATCATCAGGAACGATGGAGATGAACGAAACTACTCCTATGAAAAAGACAATAGTTGAAATCGAAGAGGAAAGCAAAGCACTGATTGTCAAAAAACAAGAGATGATAATCAGACAAGAAATACAACAAAACAAAGAAATAGAATTTTAAATGAAGTGTTGTATTGTTTTGCAATTAATTGGTTAAATAAGAAATTATATAAGAAATTAAGATGGGAACAAATAGAAAGTATAATAAAAATGACAAACATCAATGTCAATAATGAAAAAGAATATATTAAATATATTAAAATATCACATAAAATAAAAGAAAATACTAAACTGTACATTAAAGTGAAAGTAAATGATATAATAGAAGAGTAGAATGTGATTCAATAATAAAAAACATCATATTAAAGAATAACTCTACAGAAATTGATGATGAATATCTTAACACTCTCATCAATAAAGTGAAAGAAATGAAAGTAGAAAAATGTTCAAACATTAATTACTACTGGAAAAGAAAAGAAACTGACCGATTAATAATGGAAATTAATAATAGATGGATATGGTCAGGAAGCAGAATTGATTATCTGCAAGATGATATGGATATTTCAATGGTTATGCACCTCTATCTCCAAAATAAAATAATAGGAGATAAAATTGATGAAATAAAAGAAATCCTAAATAAAATAAATAGACTAGAAGATTTGGTCAATGAAATTATACAGAATAAAGTGCATCATGAAATTAAAAGAAAATGATGAAGAAGGAATAAAAGTCAAAGCACTAGAAAGAATAAAGTACCTAAAATATATGATGACAATGATCAAAGAATTAATTAAATTTAATAAAGATGAAATAATCAGAATCAATACAAATAAAATCATGTTTGATTCTAACAAGAAAATTAGAATAAGGAAGAAATAAATAATGAAATATACCCAAATAACGATATTACTTTAGAATATTGGAAATGTTATATGAAACACAGGTGATATTAAATAAAGAAAATTGGAAAATAAAACAAATCACCTCGTGGAATGAAAGATATAGAAATTATGATAGTGTCATTATAACATTAAATGAATTAAATTCAAGTATAATGAAAATAAGTAACTGGAAAGCACCAGGAATAGACACTATACATGGGTATTACTGGAAAAGGATGTCATCATCAAGAGAAATCATTCTCAATATCTTCAATGAATGGTTAAACTTCCCTGAAAACATCCCATTAGACCTGGTAAGTGGAAGAACTTTATTAATCCACAAAGTGATAGGAATGATGTCACTAATTATCGTCCTATCAGTTGTACAAATGTAATAATGAAAGTATTTACCTCCATATTAAAAGAAAAGATTCACAGAAGACTTAACATGAATTGTGAATCATTGAAAATTAGTAATAAACAATTGAGATGTAAATTACAATCTCTCCCTGCTAAAGAAGGAATAATTAATAGTTATATGTTAAAGCAGCAGAAAGAAGAAAAATACCCAAAATATGTGGAGTCATATTATGACATTAAAAAAGCATATGACACAGTAAACCACGAATGAGTAATTGAATCATTAAAATATTTTAATGTAGAGGGTATCATCATTGACATAATTGAAAGTATGATGACTAGATTGAAGATATTCATTGGTTATAAATATAATGAATATCTAGGATATATTAAATTAAATAGAGGAATTTTACAAAGTGATTCATTATCAAATCTACTCTTCATCATTCAGATGAATGTGATTTCTCAATTCATTGAAAAGAAATTCACAAAATCAAATCACACATTATATATGGATGATTTGAGAATAATGACGCAAAGTAGTGAAGAAATGGGAATAATTCACAATGAAATTAAAGAAATAATAAGTGGAATAGGGATGGAAATGAATGAAAAAAAGTCAGGAGTGGTATTAAAAAACATTAAAGAAATACCAAATGGAATGCAAAACATCCCCGTAGTTGAAGGTGAGGAGTTGTATAAATACTTAGGAATATGGCAGTCTGATAAAATTGATGACACCTTCAATTGTAAATTCATCAAAGAAAAAATGAATCAGAAGAAAAAGGAAGAAATAAACAGTGATGAAAGTAGTAATAGAAGATATATTACTAGAATAAACACTGAAGTAATCCCTATCTTCAGATATTCAGCATCAGTTGTAAATTGGAAGGTAACTTAGACAAAATTGATTTAGAGATAAGAAAATATTTAAGAAAGGCAAAATACAATGATGAAACTCCAAAGATTGTCTATATGTCATTATAGAAGAAATGAAGGATTAATAAATATAAGGGACGAATATGTTATCGAATTAGTAAGAACAGTGATGTACTACTGTACCAGAGAATGTGAAATAGGAAATAACATATTAGATAGATGGTACAGTAAGAATGGAATATGGAATAGAATTCAAAACACTAATTCATAAAATCAATGAAACAAAAATAGAAGAAATAATAAATGAAAGAATAGAAAATAAAAAAGAAAAAGAAGTAGTAGTAGAAATAAAGAAATTATTGATAAATACATCAAAAAATGGAAGTGTCATCAAATTAATGGATATTTTAGAAGATGGTTTGAGTCAAAAGGAGTAGATAAAACTACTACAGTGAAACCATGGAATTCAATCAATATTAAAAAGAATGCATTCCTCCAATTAACTAAAATGCAAGATGGTGCAATATTTTGTGTGTATAGAAAATCAAAAATAATGAAAAATGAAAGATTAAAATACTGCCCACTTTGTAAAGACAAGATAACTACAGTAGAGCACATTCTACTATCTTGTATTTATCATAATAAATCACAAATGGAAAAACATGACAATATTGGCATCATCATATTGATTAATAAGAAAATATACAGGAAATAAACAATATAAAAAACCCCATATTAAACAATGTTCCAATATAAAAACATCACAATGATATGGAACAAACAAATAATGCCTAAAAGTGAAGGATAATATCACAAAATACCAGATATACGTATTAGATAAAAAGAATAAAACTAGTCTATTATTTGAAATGACTATTGTGGCTGATCACAATATTAATTGAGTGTATTTGAAGAAAAGAAATATGTATAAAGAATTAAAGAATATTCTAATGAAAATAGAAAAACTAAAAGATGTCAGAATAACTCCAGTAGTAATTTCAATAAATTGATTAATAAATAAAGAAAGTATTAAATTAATTAAAGAAATAAAAAATGAGATTGACATCGAAAAAGAAGTAAAAAACATTGTAATAAAAAACATGATGTAATGTCATTGAATACTGCTTCAATCACAACCAAACATACTCCTTAGAGATGCTAGAAGAAGACTTATTAACAGGATTAGTCTCCCCTGAGCCATTAACAATAGAAACTAATTCTATTAATATTTAATTAATTGATTATTCTTCTTTTATTTCTTTTTATTATTTCGTGTATATCATTTATTGTTAGCCATTTATATTTGTTATTTGTATAATCTTTATTATTATTGTATTTATCTTGTTTTTTATTTGTTTTCTTCTTTGTATTTTTCGTCTTCTAAACCATTTTTCATTGATACATCGTTTACCATTATTATTTCTTTGCCATTTATTGACATTGTCATTCATTCTTTTATTGTATGACATTGAATTATTATGTTTGTTTGCTTTTCTTTACAAAACCCTAAGATTTTACACAAAGCCATTGCATTAAAATTTGTTGTATTTCCTGCATTTGAAAAGTATCTATCCATCATTAATAACAGATTAAAAAGAATAAAAAAGGAAATAAATTATTTGTTTTGCATTACAAATAAACAAGGATTATATGTTGTAGGACATGTGAAATAGTCTTGAGGGATATAGTTTAATGAATGAATCATCTCTTTCTTTATCATTGTAAATCCAACTTGAAAGGCAATTTCAAATATTTCATCTAAACTTAAATGAAGAGATGAATAACAATCATTTACCCAATGAAGAGGTCCAATATTTACCCAAATTCCTTTTGGTTTTAAAACTGATTTTATTGACTTAATATAGTTAACTATATCAAATGCAGTGTCAATAAAATAACATGTACAAACCACATCGAATTGAATTGTTGTTTTTTCACAATAACTTTCAAAATCAAAGTCACTTATAATAATTTCTTTTAAAAGTGAGGGATCAGAATCAGGGATTGAATGTATTATTTTTAATTTAGATGAGTCAATTATATCACTTGTACAATTAATGTATGGAACAATCTTAAATTCATTTTCTTTTGCTATTGAAATAGTATTTAATACCATTAACATAAAATGATTACATTCACATGCATAACATTTATTTCCTCGTTTTTGTAATTCATATGGTAATCTAGCTAATCCACACCCTGGTATTAATACTGTTTTTCCTGTACCAATAATATCATACAATGGACTAAATGTTTGATTCCTAATAGACTCTCCTAAACCTCCCCATTCTCTGATTGTTTGTTCTAATATGTTTTGAATCATATCAACTTGATGTCCATTTGGTTTTATACAACAATGAAAATCAAGGGAGTTATCAATTTCTTCTTTAGTTTTGAATCTATTATTGTAAAGTGTAATTGTTTTATCAATAAACGAACGATTTATCATAACTAATTTTTGACATTCCTTTAAACGATTAATATGATTTGTTAATATTCCATCAACATTATGTTCTTCAGCAACACTAATTAAATCATCAAATATTGATTTAGAGTCTTCTATATAATTTTTAAAAGAATGATAAACTGACCAACAACAACTATCTGGTAAACCAATCATTGAATTAATATTCTTTAGATTATTAATATTATTTTATTATAATATTTTATAATATAATAATTTTATTTACTTATCATTGAGGAATTAATCTACAATCTCATGAAAAACTGATGAAAGATAAATGAAAAGATCATGTGCTCCATCCCAGAAGAAACTCTTAAGTCAAAAACCATTACATCAACCTAAACAACAAGAAGAAAATCAAAAGAAAAACCCAAAAGTTTTACTTAAAGTTATTACTCAAGAAAAAAAGAAAATTGATATTATTAAGGTGTTTAAAATCATGTGGGCAAAAAATTCACCTAAAAAACAAAAGACGTTTAATGATGGATTTATCGTAGTTAATTCAAATAATATTGGACTTATTCACGATGAAGAAGATAAAGTCATTGGAAAAGTTAATAATATAATGAAAGAAATTAGTCCAGAAACTATTGGAGGAGATTCTATTATTCTTGCTGGAAAAGTTATTGAAATAGAAGAAGAAGTTCCAGTTGAACAATATCTTTCAGGAAAATTATTTCTTCATGAAACAGCAATAACTATAACTCAACCAAAATTTGAATTAAAAAAAACAGCATTAGGAAATGGTCCAATAAAAAAGAAAAAAGTTTCATTATATAATAAAGAAAATCCATTTGCATATTGTATTGATGATAAAAAAGAACCAGCAATTTTAATTGATCCATATATTGGAAAATTTTTAAGACCACATCAAATTGAAGGAGTTAAATTTATGTATCATTGTATTATGAGAGGAGGAGAATGTGGATGTATACTTGCAGATGAAATGGGACTTGGAAAAACACTTCAAACAATTACATTAATATGGACGGTATATAAACAATGTAATATTAAAAAAATAGTTATTGTTTGTCCTCAAAGTTTAATTGGGAATTGGGAAAAAGAATTTAAAAAATGGTTAGGAGTAGAAAGAATTTCTGTTCAAACAGGAAGTAGTGATAGTTCAATGAAAGAGAAAGTAAATGATTTTATAAGAGATTATATTCCAGTATTAATTATTAGTTATGAACAAGTTAGAAGTCATGTAGAAACACTTAAAAAAACAAAAATTGGACTAATTGTATGTGATGAAGGACATAGAATTAAAAATTTAATGAGTAAAACAAATTCTTCATTAAAAGCACTTGGAGGATCACGACATATTATATTAAGTGGTACTCCTGTACAAAATGGTTTAGAAGACTTTTATTCATTGATTGAATTTTGTTCACCTGGATGTCTTGGAACGTTATCATCATTTAAAAGAGTTTTTGCTATTCCTATTCAAAAAGCACAAGACGGAAATGCTTCAATTGAAGAAATACAATTAGGAACAGAAAGAGCAAAAGAATTAACAAATAAATTAAATGATTATGTTCTTAGAAGAACATCTCAAGTTAATGAAAAATATCTTCCTGATAAAACAGAAATTGTTTTATTTATAAAACCAAGTTATTTACAAATCAAATTATATAAAATTATGTTAAAAGAATTAGAAAAGAAGAAATTAGATCAATGTAGTGCTTTAAAATATATTCAATTATTTACTAAATTATGTAATCATCCTTCTTTAATTTCAAAATATTTAACAGAAGAAAAAATTTCATTAAATGAAAATGATGAAAAATGTATTAAAGGAATTTCATTAAATGAAGAAAGTTCAAATAAATTTAATATAACAATTCAATTTATTAAAGAAATTCTAATAAAATCAAAAGAAAAAGTAGTATTAGTATCAAATTATACAAAAACATTAGATTTATTTGAAATATATTTTAAACAAGAAGAAGAATATAAACAAAAGAAAATATTTAATTATTTAAGATTAGATGGTAAAACTTCTCAAAAACAACGAGATATTATTGTTGAAAAAATTAATGATAAAAGTTCTAATTATAATATATTATTATTATCTAGTAAAGCTGGTGGTGTTGGATTAAATCTTATTGGATGTTCACGTCTTATTTTATTTGACCCTGATTGGAATCCAGCAAAAGATAAACAAGCAATGGCTAGAATATGGAGAGATGGTCAACAAAAAAAAGCTATGATTTATAGAATGCTTTGTACTGGAACTATTGAAGAAAAAATTTATCAAAGACAATTACAAAAAAATCAAATTAGTGAAAGTATTATTGAAGAACATTTAGAAATGGGTAAAAGTCTCAGTGTAGAACAATTAATGAAAATATTTGAATTAAATACAAATACAATTTGTGATACTCATGACCTTTTACAATGTGACTGTTGTAATGGTGGTTATAAAACAGAAGAAGATACTCTTCATTTAATACCAAAAATGAAAGAAGAAATTAAATCAATTGATCCATTAATTAGTACAATTGAAGGAATAAATAAAATGGTATCAATGCTTTTTGTGAATGAATTTCATAATAAACAGAAAATGAAATAATTGAATATTTGTTATTTATATTAGTCAAAAAAATATTACTAAATAATATTAATTATTTATTAATAATAAAATAAATAAGAGAAGAACTAAAAAAAAAAGTAAAGGGTTTCTAATAATTTGTGTAAATTGAGAAACATGTCCAAGTGTAGACTCCACGTTAATGCTGTTTTCATGGGATTTCAACGTGCCCAAAGAAATCAATACCCAAATGTTGCTCTTCTTCAAATTAGTGGAGTAAATACAAAAGAAGATACTCCATTCTATATTGGAAAACGTGTTGCTTATGTTTACAAAGTTAATGTAAAGAAAGGAAGTAATAAACCAGCTATTCGTGCTATCTTTGGTAAAATTGTTGCACCACATGGAAATCATGGAGTTGTTAAAGCTAGATTCTTACATAACCTTCCACCAAAAGCAATGGGACAAAACCTTAAAGTTTTCCTTTATCCATCTAACATCTAATTGTGGTGATTATTTGATGTTGTACTTCATGTTGATTTGTTTTATTCTTTATATTATTGTATCATCTTCATTTTGTTATATAAAAAAAATATAATAACATATTTCTTATTTTGATATAAAAAGTAATTTTATGTTATTCTATAATCATAAAATCTGACTTTTGTTTTTTTTTGAGTAATTAAATTCGTTTTATTTAACTACTTCGATAAAACCCGATAAATAAGGTTAACTCAATGAAACCCATTACAAAGAGAAAAGGAGAAAAACGAGAACTGATTAACTTGAAATTGACAAAAATGGGAGCAATTCTTTCTTTATTCCAAGGAGGAGAAAAAGGGGAAAAGATTATTATTGACTTTGAGAATGTTGTCCCTTCACCTGAAGAACAAGAATTATATTCTTCAGTAGAACAATGTCTTCAAAAGTCATCTAAAATTCTTCAAGAAATTAGTGAGTATAAAGGGTGTGAGGATCTTATAAGAAAAG